CTGCGAAACTATGGAGGAAAGAAAAGCCCTTTTGGCAACCCCTTACGGGTTTTCGGTTTGGGTTGGGTTGCTTCTTTCTTTAAAGATTGGCAGTTGTTACCACTCTTTAATTAAGGAGCAGGTTCAACAATGAAGTATCATTGTTTTTAGGTAACAATGGGATATATATAAAACTTCAAAGGCAAATTCTGCTTTCTCTTTACTTCTCTCCTGAGCAGATCTTTAATTTCACTTCTGCCTTTGTAGCTCTCTCATCTCAACTTAGTCTTAGCACAACTCCCACCAAAATCTTGGGGAGAGAAGATCCAGGCCCGTGGCAGAGTTTATGTATCTGAACACACAGGTGAGGGTCTTCAAGTCTGCGTCCTCAGGAGTCTCCCTTTATAGCTGAGCTCTCCCTTGCGCCTCACCTCACCCGCAGCACACCGTGGGTCCACCTCCCACCAGCTCTGAGTGGGTTCTCCACTCAGCTGGACTTGGTTGGATCTACCTCTTCAGGTTTGGATTAATCCTGGGACTTTGAAAGCTCTCAAAACTTATTATATTTGACTTTTTATGTGTTTTATTTCAAAATATTACAGGATTCACATGTTCTGGTTACACGAAACTTTGTACAGTTGGAGGCAAAGTGTGGACAGTGTGCACTGTACCCATTGGGTATGAATTTACACCTTCCCCTCCTCCCCCTCCCACCTGCGTGCTTTCTGTTGAGTTTTACCAATAAATGTGCACCTGGGTGTTGATTGATTAGTTCTAGTTTAGTAGTGAGTATATATAGAACCAGAAAAAAACCCAAATAGCCAAAACAACCTTAAGCAAAAAGAACAAATTGGGAGGCATTGCTTTATCAGGTTTCAAGCTATACTCAAGGCTGTAGTAACCAAACAGCATGGTGCTGGCACAGGAACAGAGATATGGACCAGATACAAAACCATCCTCATACTGCCATCTGACCTTGACAAGCAGACAGTAATTATTTTCCTATTCTTGTTATATGTCTCTTAGAAGAACGTTCTCCAGGTCCCTCCAGGTTGTTACAAAAAGTATTGGTTCACCTTTTTTCTAATGGCCGGGTAGTAATCCATGGTATACATATACCACATTTTATTAATCAACTCATGTATTAGTGAGCACTCAGGCTGATTCTACATTTTTGCAATTTTGAATTATGTAAAATAAACATTCAAGTCTTTTTGATAAAATGCCTTTTTTCCCTTTGAGTAAGTACCCAATAGTAGAATTGCTGGGTCAAAAGGTAGATCTACTATGAGTGTCTCCTTACAACTTCCCATAGAGTTTGTACTAGTCTGAGTTCTCACCAACAGTGTGTAAGAGTCCCTTTCTCTCTGGCTCTCCACCAGCATTTGCTGTTTGGGATTTTTTGGATGAAAGCCACTCTCACTGGAGTTAGGTGATGCCCCATTGTGGTTTCGATTTGCATTTCCCTGATGAAATGCAAACATTTTTTTATGTTTGGCCATTAGTCTTATCTTCTCTTGAAAAGCTTCTGTTCATGTCTTTGATCCCCTTTTTAATGAGGTAGTTTGATTTTTTTCTTGTTGATTTGCCTGAGTTATTTACAGATTCTTGCTATCAGCCCTTTATCAGATGTGTAGCATGAAATATTTTTCTCCCATTCTGTAAGTTGTCCATTCACTCTATCAATTGTTTCCTTGGCTGTGCAGAAGCTTTTTAATCTAATCATATGCATTTGTTAATTTTTGTTGTGTGCTGTGATTCCCTTTGGGGTCTTCTTCATAAATTCTTTGCCAAGGCTGACATCTATAAGAATTTTTCCAGCATTTTCTCCTAGAATTCTTATAGTTTCATGCCTTAAGCTTAAGTCTAATATCCATTGTGAATTAATTTTCGTGAGTGTTAAGAGTTGTGGATCCTGTTATAATCTCTTACATGGGGCTATCCAGTTTTCCTAGCGCCATTTATTGAATAGAGATTCTTTCCCCAGTGTATGTTTTGCCTGCTTTGTCAAGGTCAGATGGCAGTATGAGGATGGTTTTGTATCTGGTCCATATCTCTGTTCTTGTGCCAGTACCATGCTGTTTGGTCACTACGGCCTTGAGTATAGCTTGAAGTCTGATAAAGCTATGTCTCCCAATTTGTCCCTTTTGCTTAAGGTTGCTTTAGCTATGTTGGGTTTTTTTCTGGTTCCATACAAAGTATAGAATTATTTTTCCTAGATCTGTGAAAACAGTATTATAATGGGGATTGCATTGTGTCTATAGATCACTTTGGGTAGTATAAACTTTCCACAGTGTTGATTCTGCTGATCCATGAGCATGATATATTTTTTTCATTTGTTTACATCCTGTGCAATTTCTTTCCTCAGTGACTCATAGTTTTCTCTGTAGAGGTCTCGAACTTTAGACTTGGTCCCCTCCTCCACCTTCACCTCAGTCCTTTTAGGGGAAAAAAAATCAATCACCTTCTTTCCTATGTTGATGTTGTTGATCTTGCTGTCACTCATCTCCGTATTTCCTGCTCTTCCTAGCACAGTGCCTTGAACATAATAGGAACTCAATAAATATCTACATGAAGAAAGGGCCTAAAATGATGAGTAATGAAGGCAATTAGTCAGATAATTGAAAACATTTTTCTCTAATAGACATTTCAGCAAGAGTTTTTGTATTAATTATACAGATAATTACTTTAATATGCCACATCACTGTTGGTACATGCATAGGACCCAATATTTGTATTACATATGGCCTTCTAAAAAGTAGGTGACGCCAGCTGGATAATGAATCGTATTTACAGAAAAAGAATATGAAAGGTTCAGTTAATAATTCAGAGCAAACAAAGGGCTGCAGGGATTTCCAGGACTTAGCAGTAGGGCCCAGAAACTGTCAGTCTCAGTAGGTTTGTAAACTGATATCCAATGAGCGTACATTCTGGGATAGTCATAAAGAATAAGGTCTGGGGAGTGGCAACATGTTCTCTGAAGGCTGTGAAATCCAAGAACTGAAATGATGTTCATAGACAAGAAACAAAGTGACAACAGGGAGTGGTCTCCAAATCCTAGGGTTATGTCCAACTGGAGAACAAAACGCCAAAATAGTCATGTACTCCATAGTGTCATTAACGTGACATTTCAGTATTAACAGGTGTCAAGACAAATGAAAAGCATTCATTCCTATATAAAAACATTGAGAGGGCAGATATACAGGTAGGGAGATGGAGTCCCTTCCAACTTCAAGCTTAGTATTTAAATTGAGCCTTCAGGGAAGAATAATCCACAATAGTCCAATGCAGTCTTATTTCCCATTTAAATCATTTGTAACACCATTCAAGAAAGACCATGAAGACACTGCAGTGTGCCAGGGGAATGAATTCTGTCATGCCACTGGCTTAATTACAGAATCACAAGTATTTCACCTTCACATATAATAATATCTGCCACACCACTTACCAGAGCTCACTATTGAAAACTTAGCTGAAAACCAAGAAATCAATGACCATTAACCAACAAAAACCATCAAAGCATCCAAAACCACCCTCACAAGGCCAAGCAACAAGGATCAGAAGTCTGACTACAGGGGCGCCTTCTACAGCACGTCTTGACAATACTCAACATGCAAGGCCAATGTCATGGGCTCACTGGCTCAGTCAAGGTAGGTTGCAAGCAGCAAATACACAGAACACATAGTAGGCATGCCATAACTTTCTCAAGTGAATAAATCTGAGTCCTGAAAACAAAACAGCTGCAATTATCAGCCAACTACTTGACAGGAAAAGAGAAGACAAGTGTCTTACGAAATGGACACAATACTTACAATAGCCTATAGTCTGAAGATACTTGGGGTAGGAATAAAGCTCCAGAGAGCATCACTCTGCACAGCACGACCTGGAGGACCTGCTCTGCCCTGGTTAGGAGAGCAAGTGGGAGGCTGCTCTGGGGCCAGGGCACCTGGTTCAATTTCTACCAACCAGCTGTGCGAAATGGGTAAATATCCTGAGATGGTTTTCTCACCTATAAAGTCTGCCTCCTAGCCTAGCGAGAATTCAAGGAGTTAATACATGCAATACACCATACCTCGGATGGTGCCAGGTACCTAAAAAATACTCAGTAGAGGCTCTGTAGAGGGCATCACCTTCATGAAAAAGATGACATTACATAATAAATGTATGGAAGACCTTCCTTCTTCCAAAAATATTAAAGCAAATATTTTGGTTTTCTAGAGAGCTTTTTTTGTTTTTTGGGTTTTTTTGTTTTTGATTTTGTTTTTGTTTTTGTTTTTTTAGCTATCTGGGAAATTCACAAGAAATACTCTCTTGAAGAGTGTATTCAAGGGCTGAGGGTAATGCTATAACACCGGACTCAGACTGCCCGGATTGGAGTTTCAGCTCTGTCACTTGTTAGCTGTGTATGTAGCACTGAGCAAGCCACTGAAGCATGCTTCAGTGTCTCATCCATATAATTATAAGATCACAGCAGAGTTGCTCTCAGAACTATACTATGATTTTTATGAGCTCCGTGTACATCTGCCTTCATGGATCCCTTCCTCAATAAAATGATATTAAAAGTTATATTTTACAACAAATATAATCTAGGCTGGATTCATCGTGATATATTCATTATTATAGTTAATTTTTTCTTCTGACTTTGAAAAATTAAAACGTTTTCACGGACCCTGCTCATTGGGCTTACTGGAAAAATCGGCCCAGGTTGTGACAAGTTTTAGGTTAATTGGTGTTTGTAAAGTACTTGAAACAGTGCTGACACAATGCTAAGCATCATTCCAGTGTTTGTTAAATAAATAAAACGTTAAAAGTGTCAGACAAACCAGCTACCATTTCCTTCCAAACTTCCTCCCTGCTCCCCTATCTGATAAGAAAAGTCTGTTTCAAAGTGTAAAAACTTTCTTACCATTAACCTGCACTTAGCAGTAGCAACTTTGAAACTATAAAGACTTTAGTAGAATAAATTAAGAGGACAAATTACGTTTACTTAAATTACATTTGGTTAAAAATAAGCACAGTTGATCCTTTTGTAGTTTATAGGCGTGATGACTGGGTTTTCAGGCACATGGGTGAGCTGTACCTCCCACAAATTTTGTTACAATGTCAGCACATTACCCATCTGACATGAAAAAATAATAATAATAAAGAAAGAAAGAAGCACAGGCGCTGAGCACCATTTGCGACTCTGGCTCAACTCAGCACAACTTTGGAGCACAAGGATCCTACTCTCCCAAGTGGAGAGAATTTATTTACAGGTCTCCTGGCTTCATTATCATGAGCAACAGCCCAGGTTGACATCCCCCGTAAATATGACTAAAGATGCCAAACCTAAGAGAAAAGGCAAGCTTTTCTTTCCCCTTCTGTGCAAATTAAAACACACAAAAGGTCTTTTTTTTCCTAAAATTACATTCACATTAAATGCATAACAGACAACAGAATTTTCATGATGATAATTTATTCCATCAAACAGGTGCTAAAAGAACGATTTAGTCCTCTATAAATTCCTTCCAGATAAGGAAAATATACTGTATAATCGTCTTTATTTCCTCTCTCCAGGAAGAAGAGCTTTACACATAGCACTCTTTGGCCTTATTTTGACCATTTGAGCAAAGGGACCCTCACTCACACGTAACACCGCATATGTTAGGATTCAGAATGCCCTGGCCACACTTTCATCTTGGCTCAACTTGCTTTTCTCTCACCTCCCCTGCTTCAAACTTGTAACTCTGCCCCAGCTCTGGTCTCCAAATTTGTGCCGGGGATTTTGGGTTGGCCTTACTCCTCCCTATGTTCAGAGGCCACCAAGCTCACCTCAAGGACGATCATTATCAATCCCTATCACCAATGTTAGCAATAGAATTTGTGGGCCCCTTGCAAAATTAAAATATGGTGTCTCTTCCTTGAAATGCAGCAGAAGAACCTTCTTTCTTTCTTTCAGCAGTCCTTCTCTTGACTTGCCGTGATGTTTTAATTTGCCATCTGATAATGCATTCTCTGGGTACAGGAATACTTTAGGGCAAGTGAGACGCAGCCCCACAACTCAGCATGTGGCACGTGTCTAGTGCAAGCACACCAGGTACCAACCCTTCCTGTGCCACACCCAAGCCGTAGCCAGGGGCACAGGGCAACTGCGATTGCCCAGGGACAGTCCCTGGGAGGCAGGGGGCAAGATGGCCCATGAGTGGAGACCCTACACCCCAGCTCGTGTTCCATTGTCTCATCCACTTTCACTTTTAAAACACATTCAGAACAGAATTCTGAAATACTTTGAGATAGATGGTGATCTCAGAGCACTACACTTCAAGCATGGGGTCTTCCGGGTGCACTGGCTCCAGCTCAGGAAGCACAAGCCCTGTCTGCTGCCCTTACCCTCTGCTCTGGGGCTCAAGTTCCAATTCCCCCTTGGGCACCCTGGCCAGCCCCTGGTCTTCTGTGAGAGTCAGACAATCCTCACTAATGACATAAACTGATGGCCAGAGTCCAGTCAGGTTCTGTCTCATGCCTCTTGCTTTCTACTTGGTGTGCGTGGCTTCTCCGGGTCCACACTGATCACCAACACATTACTCAAGACAAGAAACCAACAAGTGGCACTTCTCTCACTCCCAAGTCCACTTCCCAGTGCGCCCAGGCGTTTCCAAGTGTCCGCGTTCCTCAGAGGCGCACTAGGCCAGGTCCAATACACACACAAATCTAACAGCGTCTTTTCCAGAGTCCCACCCCTCTAGCTGCTTCTCTTACTCACATTGCAACTTAGAAAGGAAATCCCTGCTTAGCATTCAAAGAGGCATTCTGACCTAGCAGTGACAAAATGGACAAAATCAGACAAAGCCCTCGTAATGCCCTTCAGAGTAAATTGATTTTATATTTACTAGCTATGCTCTTCACGCTGCCAGGCCTGGGATGAATTTTTCTGTGACCAGAAATCTTTTGCCAGGTCTCTGGAGAAATAAAAACAAAATGTACTCAGATCAGATGCAACACATTTATTTCCCATGAATTGCCGGTTGCGTTGTCTTGAGCATTTAGGCTCAGAAGAGTTTGAATTTAAAGGTGAAAGTAATGGTTGTCTTCAGCTCAGTCCCTACCTCATCCTTCTATTAGTCACATTAGCCGAAATGATGTCACGTGGTATCATTAAAATGCAAAAGACCTCGAGATTGCCCATCTACTCACTTCATTCTGCAGATGAGGAAACTGAGACCCAGAGGGGACAAGTCCAGGGTCACACCCAGCGTGTTCAGTGGAGTCAAGATCACCAGCTGTAACTGGCTTCCTGCCAGTGCTGCCCCAATTCTATAACACAAAGAACCACAGAATCAGAGGAAATAAAAGAAACGTGATCTGATATTTATGAAGTTTTTTTCTGATTAAATGCCAAACAAATTAGCCTCAAATTAAAATTTCAAATGCCTCTACATAAAAATTCAAAGACCAACTACACATTGGGAAAACTTAGTCAGAATTTGCAACATTCAAGCATTATTGCTCTCATTAGACTAAAAAGCACTTGCATCCTTACATATACACAAACGTACAAGTCAGTAATCCTTGGGATTTGAATTTATCCACATTCTTGCTTGTTTATTCCCTTCCTGCATCCCAGGTAATAATTGTTTGGGGCCAATGAAACCCTGGTATTACTTTTAATAATTATATGCTGGAATTATTTTCACCAAGTGTAGCTTTATCAGAAATGGTCAAAATAATACTTGTTTTAATTCATGTCAACTATTGCCCTAAATGCTAAGGATCAGGGTAGAGCTTGGCATAGCTGACCTGAAACATGGCCTGGGTTCTAGATCTGCTAAGCTGGCCTTGTCTAGACACAAGTGCTGAGCCCTGGAGGAAGAAGAAACTCGTTTTCCAGGCCCACAACACCTACTCTGGCTGAGCGACCACGGGGAATTATGCCAGTTGGGATGCAGCTATAATGAAGTTTGGAGAGGTCTGAAAAGCCATTGTCCATGCTGGTCAGCAGGAAGAAATCTCTCTGTGGGGCTTGGAAGCCTTCCAGTGTCCAGCAGAGGAGTCTTTCTGGGCTGAGAAGCCTTTGACTATAGTGATGAGATTCCCAGGAGGAGAGTAAACACAAAGAGATGATTTCTAATAAGAGAAAAAAAGCACAAAGGACCCTCAGACAGGGCTGGAGACAGAGGATCCAACCTCATGGATCTGTCCTGGATGTCCATCCGAGAGGGCCTCCGTCATTTGCCTGAGGACACAGTGCATGGCACCTGATCTGAAGGAGAGCCTGGTCTGTCTCTGGCACTGATGCCTTTTGGTTCAGCTTGTCAGAAAACACAGTGTACCAGATGCCCATTTGCCTAACCGTGTTCCCTATTGCCCAGAAGCAGCTGGCCTAAAAAATGCTTAGATGGCGTGTTGAATACTAGGTTGCAGTGCCAGGGAACAGACAATATCCTGAAAGTAGGGAATCAGTTTAGAATCAGTGCTCTATATTTGAGGCTCCCTCACCAACAGCCACAATGCATGGGTCCAAGAACCGAGGGTGGGCGTGAGAGTGGGTCCTCTCCCTAAAGCACCTGATAAGCTTCTTACAGAACTTTGCCTCTCGTCCCTGTGATGGCGATCCATACTGGTTGCAAGCTCTCATTCTAAATGGAAGAATGCCTCCTTTCAGGAGCAAGACGAGTCCATTAAATTGGAACATTAGGCTTCCCTGGGGTTATTTTGGGATCTTCACACCCCTCAACCACAGGCAGAGAAGAGGATTACTCTAGTGGATGGGATGATGGATCTTGAGTACCCAGAGTAAACTGTGTTTCTACTACAAAATGAAAGTAGGGAGGACCATGTCTCAAACTGGGGATTCCCTGGGATATATCTTAATGCTTTCCATGACCAACAACGTTAATAGAGAAGTCTGGCAACCAAAGAAAAGACACAACCACTGAGAATTCAGACGTGTCTGAATTCATTCTTACATTGATTTGAGAATAAATATTTGGGTTATCATACTGGCTAAAGAAGCCTGACCAGCTGATGCTCTAGCTGAGAGCATAGAAAATGTGGAATAGGCCAGTTACAGTGTTTGTGTGTGTGTGTATCTAAAGCAGGGGTAAAACTTTGTCCCTGAAGGGCCAGGTAAATATATTAGGTTTTGTGGACCACGTAATCTCTGTTGCAACAACTCACCTCCACCGTTATAGCTCTAAAACAGCCATAGACAATATGTCACTTACTAGGTATGGCAGTGTTCCAACAAAACTCTGTGTGTGTATGTGTGTATGTATGTATTTTATTTTATTTTATTGAGACAGATTCTCACTTTGTCACCCTCAGTAGAGGTGCTGTGGCACCATAGCTCATAGGAACCTCAAATTGGGCTCAAGTGATCCTCTTGCCTCAGCTTCCAGAGCAGCTGAGACCACAGTTTTTCTATATTTAGTAGAGATGGGATCTTGCTCTTGCTCAGGCTGGTCTCGAACTTCCAAGCTCAGGCAATCCACCAGCCTCAGCCTCCCAGAGTGCTAGGATTACAGGCGTGAGCCACTGCGCCTGGTGAAAACTTTGCTTTTTAATTGGATTTGACACAAGGGTTGGAGCTTGTCCACCCTTAATGGAAACTTAATTTCATATTTGTTCTTCTCCTTTCCCTTATTATTTTACATAAAATGCTGGAGTCTTTCAGTAATAGAATGTCCCAAGGCTTTGAATTAGCTAAGACAGAGATGATACCAACACGGTGGGGACTCTGTGTTCCCTCCTTTTAGGGAAAGGCTGAGAGCATCTTCCTTTGCTTTTTGTTAGGTGGAAGCCTGAAGTCAGTTTTTCTCCTGTAAACAAAAGTGCCTGTGGCTACTGCATAGTCCCAGGGGTGGCCGGTTCTTAAGTTATTGCTTCTCAGCATCCAACCCACCCTTTTATACCCTGCTCTGTGATTCTGGGTCCGGACTCTGCAGACCTGTTTTCCTTTATCAACTCTACCCTTGTTAGGCTTTGTGGACGGGATCACTAGAGAAAGACGACAAGGCTGGAGGAAGAAAGATCACCCTCCCCCCACCTGTTCCTGGCCTGTCAACACCAGCCTAGCAGTGTGTCTTCACCCCTGGGGCAGCAACAGTGAGGCTGATTCCAGGTTGTTCTTCTAACACTAGCAGAACC